CCTCTTATTGTGATGCAATTTACCCTCTTCTATTTCCTCCTTTCCTCTTCTCCCCATTACAATTCTTTTCACTGTTTCATTAGGTTTTTTATTATCATATCAAAGTCAACTTAAACCCATCCCCTCTGTCTATGTATATACCTTCTAAATGTCATAATAAAGATACAGTTCTCAAGAGTTATAAGTATCATCTTCACATGTAGGGATATAAACAGTTTACCCTTATTGAATAATATGATTTTTTTCTCTTTCCTGTTTACCTTTTTATGCTTCTCTTGAGTCTTGTATTTGAAGATCATATTTTCCATTGAGCTCTGGCCTTTGATCAGGAAAGTCTGGAAGTCCCCTATTTCATTGAATGTCAATCTCCTCCCCTGAAAGATTATGCTCAGTTTTGCTGGGTAGTTGATCCTTGGTTGTAATCCAAGCTCCTTTGCCTTACAGAATATCATATTCCAAGCCCTCCAATCTTTTAATGTAAAAACTGCAAGGTCCTGTGTAATCTTGACTGTGGTCCCATGATATTTTAATTGTTTCTTTCTAGCTGCTTGCAGGATTTTCTCCTTGACCTGATAATTCTGGAATTTGGCTACAATATTCCTTGGTATTTTAAATTTGAGATCTCTTTCAGGAGGTGATCGGTGGATTCTTTCAATGACTATTTTACCCTCAGGTTCTAGGACCACAGGGCAGTTTTCCTTGATGATCTCCTGAAAGATGCTGTCCAGGCTCTTTTTTTTTTTAATCAGGGCTTTCAGGTAGACCAATAATTCTTAAGTTATCTCTCCTGAATCTATTTTGCAGGTCAGTTGTTTTTCCAATGAATAATTTTACATTTTCTTCTTTTTTTCTTTTTTTAAATTTTGTTTTACTGATTCTTGATGTCTCAGAGTCATTAGCTTCCAATTGCCCAATTCTAATTTTTAAGGAGTTGTTTTCTTCAGTGTACTTTTTTCCCATTTAAAAAAATGAATTGTTCGATTTTTCTTCCACCTCCCTTATTTGATTTTTAAAATCCTTCTTCAGCTCTTCCAAGAAGGCTTTTTGGGCTTGAGACCAGTTCATATTCCCCTCTGAGTTTTCAGATGTGGGTATATTGACAATGTTATCCTCCCCTGAATTTGTGTTTTGATCTTCCCTGTCACCAAGATACTTTTCTATGGTCATTGTTTTTCTACCTTGCTTCTTTGTTTTCCTTTTTTTCCCCCTGGCTTTTAAAGTTGATCTCTGTTTCTGGGGCACAGGGGGTACTGTCCCAGGCTTCCAGTGCTAGGGGCTAGGGGCCTGGATTACTGGCTTGCTGAGGTAGGGCTTGCCACTGGCTTGCTGGGATGCCTCCCTTCCTGTACTAGTCCCATTTAGCCAGAGCAAGAGAGATCTTTCCCGTTAATCTCCCTAGCCTCACGAGCTAAAAGACTGCTGTATCTAGTCTCTCTGCTGACTCTACTATTTCAGCATTTTTCCTGGGGCAGTGTTCTCTGGGTTTTTAAAGGTCAATAAGGGAGTGTGAGAGTGACTTACTGCTTACTCCACCATCTTGGGCCCCAGAAAATTAACCAACTTTTTTGAAGGAGTCTTATGGGAAACACTGAGAGAGAATTGTTATTCCTAAAAAGACTGACAGGTCTTTGGACAAGAGTCTGTCAGAGATTTGGATAGTTAACCATCATCTCTGAACGACTCTATGTTATGTGGCTGAGCCATTTTGTTAGAAAGGCATTCTGTAGAAGGGAAGTCCCGAGGGGAACTGATCCTCAGGCAAACTCAATTACCTTATCTCTCTGAGAATGGATGAACTGTTGGACAGGAGAAGCCAGCTGTTGCAGCTGTTAGTGAGAGACTCTAGTTAAAAACTGTCTTGTCCTTTCCCTTCTAGAGCATAGATGTGACTCTGGCTGTACCCTTTCTCACATCCTATAAATTACATAATTATTTACCTATGTCTTTGTATTATTTGTTCATGTCAATAGCTATATGGGTATCAGACATATTCCCCAAAAGGCAGAATTACAAGACCCATTTGTACAAAAATATTTACAGCAGAACTTTTTGTTGTACCAAAGAATTGAAAACAATGTGCATTGTCTATCAACTGGAAAAAGGATAAAGGAATTATGGTATATGAATGTAATAGAATATTACTGTGCCATAAAAATAATGAAAGGAATAAATGCAGAGAAACCTGAGAAGACTTGTATGAACTGATGCGTAGTCAGATAAGAACTAAGAGAAGAGTTTATGCAGTGACTACAGCAATGTGAAAGAAAACAAATTTTAAAGATTTAAGAATTCTGATCATTACAATGACTAATTCCAGAGGTGATAGACTAGAGATGTAGACTGAGACATACATTTTCAGATACGGTCAATGAATACATTTGTATTACTTGAATATGCTTATTACAGGGGAGGATTTTTGTTTGTGCAGATGGGGAAAGAGGAGAAGTAATGATAATATTAATAAAAAAAGAAAGTAAGAAAACAAAAGCATATTAATAAAACATTTTAAAATGGACAGAAGAGACCAGAAGCTTCAAAGGAAGATACAGATAAGCAGAACAGATTTAGAAATACTATGTTAAATTTGATACTTTATTTACAAAATTTTTATATTTAATTTTTTCCAAATTATATGTAATAAGAATTTGTAACATTAATTTTTAAAAATTTTGAGTTCCAAATTCTCTCCTTCCCTCTCCTTTCCCTCACCTTGAGAAGGCAAGAAATTTGATATAGTTATATACATAGTCATGCAAAACATATTTGCATATTAGCCTTGTTGTGAAAGAAAACACAGACAAAAAAAACAATAAGAAAAATAAAGTTTAAAAAGTGTGCTTCAATCTATATTCAGACTCCATCAGTTCTTTCTCTGGAGGTGGATAGCATTTTTCATCATAAGTCCTTTGGTTGATAAAGACTTTTTTAAAAAATACTGTATGCAATAGAGACCCACTGTTTCATATACCATCCTCTTTTTCTTCTAGTGATCCTGTTTGTTGATGTTTGATAAGTTTATAAAATTAAAAAAAAGAAAATATAAACAATTCCATCAGTAGTAACAATAACATTGTCTGAAACTACAAGTTCAGGGGTTAAGAGTGAGGGAAGAGAGACAGCTTATGACAAGTTTTTCACATGTACATACGTAGCTCTTAAGCACTGGGGTAGAGTTGTTGTTCAGTTATTTTTCAGTTGTGTGACTCTTCATGACCCCATTTGGGGTTTTCTTGACAAAGATACTGATGTGGTTTGCCATTTCATTCTCTAGCTCCTTTTACAGATGAGAAAACTGAGGCAAGCAGGGTTAAGTGACTTGCCCAGGGTTACATAGCTAGTAAGTGTCTGAAGCCAGATTTTAACCCAGGAAGATGAGTCTTCCTGACTCCAGGCCTGGCATACTGTGCCACCTAGCTGCCCTCTGGAGTAAAGATTTATGTCTAATTCATGAGAGAGATTTTGCATTTTAATTACTTTTCTGAGATAATTTTCATTCATACCTACCAGATTGTCATTGAACCTAGGGAAAGGGTAACATGCCAATAGCATGCTGAAGGAGAGGGTTTGGGTGTGTTCCTAAAAGCACCTGGAAGGTATTGTTCATAGCTTTCATCGCAGATACCCACCCCTCGCTTCATGTTGGGCTAAGTTCATGAAATTGCTCCATGTGGGTTAGCACAAGCCTGCCACACTATTGTGATTCCATGGTATTGGCTTTTCATACTTCAGTATTCAAAATTCAACAGATTTAAGAGATCTGTGATTTCTTCATTATACAAACTTCACTAACATAGATCACAATTCTGTCATGTCTTAGTGGAGAGTTTCACAAAGGTTTAAAAAAATTCGGCACATAGGGGCCAACCTTCAGATAATAAATCCCTCCATTTCTCCAGTTTAGCTAAACTGGTTCTCAGATAACAGAACTAGTCTGTTCCTGGGTCTCTACATAAAGCCTTTTAGTTTGGTAGGACTTTTCTTTCAGAGCTTACATTCCATAGAGATAACCTTTGATAACCCAGAGTCACTTCCATTCCACAATGAGTAGGAGTTCAGTGGAGAATCAGTTCATCATAAAATGGGAGAATTTTAGAGCTGGAAAGGATCTGTCCCCTATCGCATCTTATGCCTCCATATACATATCTTCATTCAAACCATTCCATTCACTAACTTGTTGGTATCAACTTCCACTCAACCTTTACCTCCACCTGTTAAAAATCACTTCCATATTTTAAAATAAATCAGTCTCAGATACATGTTCTCTAGGAAATTTCCATTGATCTAGCTCCAAGAAGAGATGTATCATTCCTTGGATCTCTCATAGTAATTCTTATCTCTTCTATGCACCTGTCATTATTGTACTGTGGTTATTTTGTGTGTATATGTTGTTTTCCCTGCTGGACTATACAATCCTTGATGACAGGGAAGGTATTATTCAGCACTTAGCACCTCAACATGTATATGGTAGGCCCCTCAAAAATCTGGGTGCTAATAATTACTTTGAATGATTATTGAAGCAGCTACTCTGATTCCTTCACTTGCAGATGAGAAAAATGAGAAGTTAAGTGACTTCCTCAAGATCACATGAAGCACTAATAGTAGAGTAGCAATAGAACCCAGGGTGCTAATTAATTAGAAAAGAAAGAAGAAATATAAACTCTGTTTGGCATTTAAAACCCTTCACAGACTGACCTCAAGCTTCCTGTTTTAGCCTTCTTATTCCCACACTCTATGGTGCAGGCAAACTGGCAGTCTTGCTCTTCCTCAAACATGACACTCCATCTCCTGTCCTCTGCACTGGCTGTCCCTCATGGCAGGAAACTAGGAATGCCAAGAGGCAGAGGAGAGGAAAGGATTTTTTTTTTAAACAACGGTGCTTTGGGGAGAGTCTCTTTAGGGAGGGGAAATTCTGCCATAGGACAGGGTGCCCTTAATTTTATGGCTCTAGATAAAGAAAAGGAATAAGCCAGGAGTCTTAAGTCCTTCTTTTCTTTTTGCAGATGCTGGCATCTGTGCTGTTACAGTGGCTGCAGATGCTTTGATGCCTTCTTCATTGAATTCCAGAGAAAATGAGTGAAAAGTCCTTGACAGGTACAAACTTTTGAGTGTTGATAATCTAGAAAAGTCAGCTTTGTGCTCAGGAAAGACATAGGGCATTCCCAACGTGCAGAGAATATGAATCATGTCATAAGACACTCCCATCTCGATTTTGGAGAGTGACAATTGCTTGTTAAGAATTTTCAGCAAGGTCATTGCTTCTAAGTATGAATAGTATGGTTTTACAGATGAGAAAAATAAAATGCATGTATGTATGAATGAATGTGTGTGTATGTGTGTGTGTGTGTGTGTGTGTGTGTATGTGTGATGAAATGGTAGTCTTCTTTAGTGCGGAGTGGGGAGGGAGGAAGACAGTTTGGAATATAAAATGTAACAAAAAATAAATTAAATTAATTTTTTTAAGAGAAGGTCATTGCTTCTGGTTTTGTCTAGGTTATAAATCTTTCATAGGGTAAGCCCTTTTTCCATCTTTTCACCATAAGCATCAGGAAATGCAAAGATCATTTTCAATTCCATACCATTGTATGCACTTACACTAACATTGACACTGAGCTCTTTTATATAGAATCCCAGAAATAGCTCTTTCTTCATCATAATTTGCATCACTTTGTACAGTTATAACCAAACTAATTATATTGAAATACAGCATTGACTCAGCTCAAAGCACAACCTCTTAAATGAAGACTTTCCTAATTTCCCCAGCTCCTCGTATCTTCTCTCACCAAATTACCCTCTATTTGTTATATCTTCTCCTCTGTATTTAGGTGCATGTGTTTCTCCCAATAGAATATAAGTTCTTTGAGGGCAAGGACTGTTTTCATTTTTTTCCTTGTATCCTATTATGTAGCTAGTTCTGGTCTGGCACACAGTAGGCATTTAATAAAAACTTGATTATTTTCTTTGGGATTAAACCCAAACTCCTTTGTTTGACATTTAAAGTCCTTTACAACCTGGCTCCAGCCCACCTTTCTAGGTGTATTACACATCACTCCGCTTCATGTACTTTATAATCCAGCCAAACTGACCTCCTTGCTCTTCCCTGAACTCAGTGTCCTACCTTCCACCTTCATGTCTTAGCATAGGCTGTCCCTTGTGCCTATAATTCGTTCCCTCACTTGCTTTCTTCAAAACTCAGCTCAAGCTCTGTCTCCTCTTTTCTGATTTTCCAGTGCCTTCCCTTCCCCCAAATCACCTTGTGTTTATTTTGTGTAGATTTTGTACACACTTATATTTATACATCGTGTTTTCCCCAACAGACTATGAGTTCCTTGAGGGCAAGGACTATTTTTTTTGCCTTTCTTTGTATCCTTAGCACTTAGTACAGTAGGCATGTAGTAGGAGTGTGATAAATGTTTATCGATTGACTGACTGGGTTTATTTCATTTCTATCTTATCCCCAGTACATAGTCCAGCTCATGATACAAAGCAGGGATTTATTGCATGATTGATTTCATAGGGAATCTCTTGAGACTTGTCAAAGCTGATAACTGAATTCTCCTAGCATTTCCCAGAGACATATAGGCAAAAGGAACCTAGAAAATATTGTCAAGTATAATTGAATTGGGGGCTTAAAAAGAGATGATTTTAGGGACACAGATTATATCTTTTCATCACTACTGACAATTAGAAGTTAGGAATTCCGAAGAAAAATGTGGGTTTGAAAAATTACTAATGGTTAGAGTATTGTCTGAGAATAGCATGTAGATTTGAGAACTATTACTTAAAAGGCACAAATGATGGACATTTGGCGAGGAATGGAGTGTACCTAATGAGGACCCATTAAAACATACTTGTCCAGAGTTTTGCAAGTTTGATCAAGGGGATTTAAACTAAAGGCAGGGGAAGAGAATAATGAGAGACAGAATAGAAGAGTGGATGGATTGCTGGACAGTCATTCTGAATCTTGCCTTGATACTTACTAGATTATCATGAGCAATTTATATGACCTTTCAAAGCCTCTTCCCTAAGATGAGAATAAAAATACGTGCCTCCTAGGGTGGTATGATCATTCTCTGCAAACCTCAAAGTGCTATATAATGTTATGATTATTAATTAATCATCACCAGGCATATATTAAGTGCCTCCTATGTGCCAGGGATGGTGCATAGTACTAGAGATCTAAATATGAAGAATGAAACAGCTCCTCTCAGGTTATGATATATGTCATGATCATTCTTATTATTTGACATGCCTGGGATTAAAGAAAGTAGCAAGGACAATATTGGAAGAAGAGTGACATGAGATGGAACCATTAATTCATAGAAAGAGCACTAGAAATAAAAATCATGGCCTTATCTGCCTGTGTACAAATATTCAAAGTATGGCTACTGAAGAAGGTGAATTAGAACTTCTAGTACAAGAGTTCTCATCCTTTTGTGTCTGTCACAACACCCCTTTGGCAGTCTAATGAAGTCCATGGACACCTTTTCAGAATGTTTTTAAATAAATGAAGGAAATGCTAAATTTCAGTGGAAGATTAGTGAAATAAAGATGTATTTTTTTCCTATCCAAGTTCATGGACCCTATTAAGTCAAGAACCTCTGCTCTAATTCAAGAGGGCAAATTTGCCCTTCTAGGTATGTGGTGGGACTTCTGAGATGTGGTGGGACAGACTTAGTGTTGAAATTGATTCAGTAGGATGAGGATAGGAAAAAGGGGGCATCACACCATTATTGTACATTAAAATATGTGAGTAAATTTCGGAACTTGATGGGGATAAACATGATGCAGAGCATCTAGTGGAGGATCAATGAATTAAAAGCAAGCAATACAGACCCACTGGGGCAGGACGAAAAATCAGATGAAAACCTAGGGAAACATTACAAATTTGGCATGGAGGCCTGTATGCTATGATGAGGGACTTTATTTGGATATCTGTTGGAGTTCTCTCTGGACAAAGCCCAAAATTAGAGACATTAGTAACATCTTAATGATACTTATCCTTCTAAAAGTATATTTGAGACAAGGAAAAATATAGTTGTGGACCCAGCTCTCATCAACAGAGAGGGTCGACATCCTGAAACAGAAATGGGGAATCTTGGGGGCAAGTGACACTTCATCATAGAATTTAGAATTTATAGACAAGCAGCAGAAATCCTGGCATCATCTGACACGCATTCCAGATTTGGTGAGAGCAGATTTCATTAGGTTCAGAAAGAAGATTGGTAGAATCCAATGGCCTAATATTCTGCAGAACATTCTATAGTGACACTGTATAAATAAGGCATTATTATACCTAGAATGAAGCATAACATATAGTATTTACTCAAAAATGTTTGAATTGAATGGAACACATATCTTAAAGCTAAGTGTAATAGAAGTATACTGTGCCTCCTAGCCTTTCACAAATATACATAACAACTTAAAGACTTGCCAGTATTTTCCCCAAGGTATCAAGTTTTTATTTATTAGAATCCTATATTTACCACTCAGCATTTAGTTCATTCACATCATTGACTTAAATGAATTTAAATTGGGCTTTGAGGCATAAACATTTAAACAAATTCTTTATTAATTGATCAATAAGTTAATTTTTTTTTCCCTCCAGAACAAAGGCATTTTCATTTTCTTGTCTCTTACTTAGGCCCCTAGATCAGAAAGCTGTCAGGATTTGAAGAACATTGTAAGAATCTGAAATCAAGCCATATTTCTTTTATACCATTAATAAGATTATTACCAGAGTACTTATCTACTTAAGTTTCTAAAATCTTATTATCTTCCACTTGTAAGAAGACTAATCACTTGAAAAGGGTGAGATAGAATTCATAATATTATAGGAGTATAGGATTTAGAGCTGGGGGGGCAAGGAGGGGCAGGTTAGGGAGGACTTTAGATACCACCTGGTCAAGTCCTTTGCTTTATAGATGAAGACATGGAAGCTTAGAAAAGCTAACCAATTTGTCCAAGGCTGCACAGGCAGTAAGCATTAGAAGCAGGATTTGAGCCAGAGAGAGCTTATCTTTATAATTATGCTTTATTTCTTAAAGAATACTGCTTCCATTTTCAAGGTTACTATCCCCACCCTCCCCCCTTCTGATCACAGTTCTAAGCATTTTACACTTTCAGTGGCATTACAAAGTGCTCCTCTATCCACTTTACATTTACTTTCCCATAGGTAAATAATTTGCACTCTCTGCCCTGGCAAGCATTCTGTTACTCACTTTGTATATATATGCCAGCTGAGTCCACACACCCTAAGTGTGTAGGAAGCCTTCCTAGATTCACCCTAGCCCAGGGTCATCTCTCCTTCCTCTGAACCCCTATATCATTTATTTGGATGCCTTCGGATATTTCTGTTATTGAATATTAGCTTCTGAACTGATTTAACATTTACCATGTTTATGTCCTGTTTCTCTAACTGGAGAAGTAGCATAGAATAATAGAGAGCTGGAAACTAGGACGACATGGGTTCCATTCATGTCTCAAATAAATATTGGCTCACTTATTGCTACTACTAATTTCACTACCAAAAAAAAATACATTACTACTAACAAAAACTGACATTTATATAGGGATTTAAGGTTTTCAAAACCCTTTAATATGTTATCTCATTTGATTCTCACAATGACCTAACGAGACAGATGTTGTTATTATCCCCATTTTACAGATGGGAAAATTGATGTTGAAAGGTTAAGTGATTTGCTCAGGGTTATGTTACTAATAAGTTTCTGAGGTAGGGTTTGAACTCAAGCCAGTAAATCTATCCATAAATACTTACTACATGGCTATTATGTTCCAGCATCTGGGGAAACAAAGAGAGATAAAAGAAAGTATCTGCTACCAAGGGGTTCACAATTTAATTAATGGGGAAGACACCTTGCAAACAACTGTGTGCAAACAAGCTATCATACAGGTTAAGTCAGAAATAATCCATGGAGGAAGGCCCTAGAAGTCAGAGGGGCTGGGAAAGGCTTCAGGTGGAAGGTGCGATTTTAGCTGGGACCTGAAGAAAGCCAGGGCAGCCTGGAGGCAGAGATTAGGAGGGAGAAGTTCCGGGCATAGGAAATGGCAAGAGGAAATTCCAGATATGGGGAACAGCCTGAGGGGAAAAAAAAGGAAGGAGAAGGAGAGTCTTTTTCCAAGGAACGGCCAGGAGGCTGGTGTCACTGCACTGAAAAGTGCATGGCAGTGTGGCAAATTTTCCTGAGACTCCAGGTTCAGTGTTTAATTCATTGAACTTCCTTCAGTCCTTTGGTTTCCTAGAATTTTAAGACTATTAGCTTCAGTGTGGGGCAGTTGTGTCTGACTCTTCATGACTTTGTGGACCATACTATCCATGGGGTTTTCTTGGTAAAGATTCTGGAGTGGTTTGCCATTTCCTTCTCCAGTTGATTAGGGCAAACAGAGGTTAAGTGACTTGCCCCAGGTCACACAGCTAGTAAAAGTCTGAGGTCACATTTGAACTCAGGTCTTCCTAACTCCTAGCCCAGTACCCTATCCACTGCACCACCTAGCTTCCCCTAGCTGCAGTGAAGGTACCAAATTGTATTAGTCAAAGTGGTTGACTCATTGGGAAGTCCCCTAAACTAATGAAATCAGAAGTCCAGTCGCTATCCCGATCCCACTAATTTCAATGTGACATTTATAATGGCAGGCACTGTCTAATACACCTGTGTCTTTATAGGCCTCCCTGCACCTGATATGACTAGAATATTGTAGGAAGGTGCTCAATAATCATTTGTTCATAGGATTTAGGGGTGGAAAGAACTTGAGAAATGCTCAAATCCTACTTCGTGATTGTTTAAATGAAGCTGGCTGGACAAAATGACCTTCCCCAGATCACACAGGAAGTGGCAAAGCTATAATTCAGCTTCCTAGGTCTTCTGGGGCCAAAGCCAGGACCTTTTCCTTTAAGTCACACTTTCTCATACGGAGTGCGGTAATTAATATAGGCTAAGTGTTATCTGTAGTAAGAATAAAATTTGTAAAATCACCTTTTATTCAAATCCTGCCCCTAACCCCTACTAGTTATGTGACCATGGGCAAGTCACTCAGCCTTGGTGAGCCTCAGTTTTCTTATCTGTGAAGTGGGATAATACCTGTGGTGCCTCAGAGTTATTTGAGGGTCAAATGAGATACTGCAGGTAAGGCACTTTGTACAATGTGTTATAGAAATCTCAGCTACTATTTAGCTAAATAACCCAAATATCAGCTGTCCTGAGCTGATAGAACCCTAGAATCTCAAAGCTGGAAGGAACCAGAGAATTTAATCATCCAAAACATCTGCCAGAAGTGGAGCTCCCTTTATACCCAACAGCTAGTACATAGCCTTGGCTTCTCCCGGCAGGGCAAATAAAATAACACTACATCATAAGACTTTTTCATCTCCATAAAATCTTTTTTTTTTTAAATGAGGCAATTGGGGTTAAGTGACTTACCCAAGGTCACACAGCTATTAAGTGTCAAGTGCCTGTTCTGAGACAGGTTTTGAACTCAGGTCCTCCTGACTCCAGGGCTGGTGCTCTATCCACTGTGCCACCTAGCTGCTCCAATATTGTTTTCTCTATTTTTTTTTGTTTTTGTTTTTTTAGGCAATTGGGGTTAAGTGACTTGCCCAGGGTCACAGCTATTAAGTGTCAAGTGTTTGGTCTGAGGCTGGATTTGAACTCAGGTGCTCCTATAATGTCAGAGTTGGTGCTCTATCCACTGCACTACCTAGCTAAGCTGCCTCTCCATAAAAATCTTTGAGAATGCTCCAATTGAGGACATCCTTGGCAAAAACACGGGAAAGGGCAGACTTACTTTAGTAGGCCAGGTCTGAATGGTCACATGGGTTCCTGGAATGGAAATGTCAAAAATCTAGTATTCTACTCTAAAAGTTTTTTTTTAAAGCCTTTGACCTAGAAGAACAATATTCAGCCTTGTAGACTCTCCTCAGAGGTGCCTCACTTTTACATTAAAATTATACAGGATCCCATGACAAATGTAACTGCAGAGATCATTTTGCTTAGTGACCAATTGAGCACTGACATCAGAGGATTATAGTTTCAGAGCTGAAAGGGACCTTCCTTCCTTCTTTCCTTCCTTCCCTGGAGATTCTATCACATAGACAGGATGAGGCAGAGGTAGGTCCCCTGACTCCAAACCCTGTCCTCTTTCCACTGCTCCACGCTGCCTCTCACATCAAGAAATCCACAGGTAAAGAAACAGATGTTCATTAAAGGTGGGCACTGGTGTCATAGAAAATGTCCTCAATGAGGCCCAAAGAAGTCTTTCCTCTTGGTGGTGAAGTTCTCTAAATGCTATTTTCAGATGAAATCATAATTCCATCAAACCTTGGAAAATTGCAATGCTTCTTCAATGAAATGCATAGTATCATGAAGAAGATGGGTTTAACCATCCACACTGGGAAAACGAAGCAGTTGATAAATATATACAGTTGATGATGATGACATTCAGCTGCATGGATAATCTATCAATATATATATTTTCAACAATCCCAGTAGATGATTGAGCTAGATCTGGAACTGGGTAGGAAATAAGAATGGATAGCATTTGGGAAACGATATTTTTTTTAACAATCTGGAAGTTGTTCTCTACAAAAAACAAACAAACAAAAAACCAAAATCCCAAACCCAAAAACCCAACATCTTTTTCCCATCAAATTCTCCCAGTCATGCTATATGTGACTAAAATATCATGGAGCATCATGCTCTTAAGAGTTAAAATGGTACATGGCTACTCCATACCCAAAGTACATCAAAGGAACTAAGACGTATGGGAAAACATAAATAAGAAAGGCATAGGATGAGGATTGGAAGAGTTGTAGCCTGTCGTTGGAGGGAATACTCAGAACAGAGTAAGTCATAGATCTTTCAAAATGCCATTCAGAAGTATATTTTAAAGCTTTAGGGGATTATTTAAATAATATTCTTTATGCCTGGTCTGAATCTAGTAAGAAGGTTCAAAAACCATGGCAGAATGTGTACACTTACTGATATGCAGACCTTCCACTGCCAAGGGCTCAGGTATACCCTTAAAAATTTCAGCTCGGGGCAGCTAGGTTGTGTGGTGCATAGAGCACCAGCCCTGGATTCAGGAGGACCTGAGTTCAAATCCTGCCTCAGACACATAACACGTACTAGCTGTGTGACCCTGGGCAAGTCACTTAACCCTATTGCCTGATCAAAAAAAAAAATTCAGCTCATTTCTTCCCTGAGCCCACAGAGGCTGAATTGTCAGCTTCTTCCTTTGCCGTATAGCTTGTGGCTGAGGTGCTCAGGGGAGTAACTTTGTGTCCTGCCCTTTATCTGCAGTCTCCCCCTCCAAAGGACCTATGATCTTCTATCACCTTTCCATTGGCTTATTCCTTCCCCTCCCTGGGCTTCATTGTGTGGGACAGAAGGGGAACTTCCCAATACTGAAGATTATACTCTTCCCACTTTAGCATCAGGATATAAACCAACACTTTAGGCCGTCTTCTGGTCGCTGGTGCTAGAGATAAAGTCATTAGCAAAACTACTTCTCAGAAGGTCCAAATGAATACATTAAGATGTTTTAGAAAAGTTTTAATTTGAACAATTTATGATTAAAAATACATTATATAAATAATTCCTTCTTTCATAGACTTGATTAAGACTCACTCCTACCTTTACAAAAGACATTACTGCAAGAATGTGGGATCAAAGATATTACAAAATATAGCTATAGTCCCACCTATTTAGAAATACAATATTATACATTGCACTTCTTGTGCAAAGTGCAGTAGAATGTTGTTCTGATATGCCAATATAATTTAATTTTCTATAGAGTAAATTGTAACTAAGAACAGTTACTCTGTGGAATATCACAGGTACAGAGTATTTCGTTGAAATAATGAATCTTTCCTAGAAGGTAATGTACCTGAGTTCAATATTTTTCATTAATTTTGTAGCTATTAAAGGCTGTACTTATACAAATATATATATATATATACATATATATGTATACATATACACACACACATTAAAATAGAGTCTGGTCTGCATTAAGCAGTCACTAAACATATTTACAACTTTTCTGGGGTAGTACCTGCTCTCCAAATAAGTATGTTAACATCTTTTGTGTTAAGCTCTTTTCCTATTAATTCAAATCTTTATTAAGCATTAAGGTTTGGTTCACTCCGTTAGTGAACATCTTCGGTAGACACTTCAAGCTTGCGCTGAGGAACAAAGAGGGGTCCTAGCGAGGTGCCGTGAGTACCATCCAAATCATCACAAGTCGAAGCCAGAAGTTTAGTTGGTCCTCCCGGCGTTCGGAAGAAGTTTTCAGTCACTAGTTGTGATCCTTTGGGTGTCACTGGGACAGGCTAATTGAAAGAAACGGAAAAGAAAACCGGTCAAGACTAAATGTTTCGGGAAGGAGCTTAAACAAAAAGCAGCCTGGTTTAACGTTTAAAATGTTGGAAATACGGCCTGTCTAGAAACCTGCTATGCAAATTATGACAAGCTGTTCACCCGGTTTTCATTGAGTCAAGATGATAAACCATATATCTAGGCAACAGCACATGATACACTGAAACCTTGGGCTTGGGAGGGTCTGATAATGTGCCCTAGTAGACTCTGTAAAGGAGAAGAGAAGGACCTCTCTCTGCTTTCCACACCTCTTAGATTGCTAGATACAGGCCTATATGCTTGGGATGTGGCCAAGAAATGCCATCGATTGATTCCCACTTTGTCAAAAGGCTGACTTGAAGGCATTTTCAAAGAACCACAATATAATCTAATAGGAACAATGTATGTCTCCCCAAATACAGCTTTTTAGACCTACGTGCAGACGACATCCTTCACGCTCATAAGTGGCTGTTTTCATGTACAAATGGGGAAAAGTAAATTCAGTGGTATTCAATGGAGCCAAATCATTGCTCCATCGTATGGCAGATGCTAGGTTATCACCATTCCTTTTGTACCACATGTTTAAAAGGGGAAATCAGAACACTTGGCTTTCATAAGGATAACCTCTAAAATGAGAATGAAAAAAACAACTATAAAAATTGCCAACTAAGGAAGGTGTTCCAACGTGGAAATGACATTTGGGTCTTATCAGCATAGTAAATGATGATTCATTTATCATTCAAATGAAATGGAAATGGCTTTATTAGTAAACACGCCTACCTGCTGTCCAGCAACCCCAGTGATGGATTGTCCACTTAGCTGACTATGCCCAGGAACAGGTGACTCATGCTTGGTGACCTTTCCTTGCTGCACGCTGGTGTTCTCAGAGGGAGTGCTAATGGGCTCTATTCTTGGAGACACTGGAACGGAGCCCGCGCCAGCATTTGCAGACACCTGCACACTTGGAGATATCAGCCCTAAATGTTGCAGGGTAAAGTTCACAATGGCCGAACTTGGGTTTTGGACAGGAATGGAGTGGCCTGAGGAAGGAAGGGACGGACTGTTGACGACAGGTACGGTCCCTACAGAGGTTGGTGAAACCATCAGCTTCAAAGGCGTAACATGAAAAGTGGGAAAGTTCACAGCGGTGAGGTCAGATGTTGTCACAGGAATGACACCTGGAAGGCAAAGGGAGAAGACAAACTATTAAAAGGAAAGGCATGAGACGGAGATGCTCGTATGGCTTGAGAACACTCGAGATCCACTCCTATATGAACAGGTTTTTTACTTATTATTTTATTTTCTCCCCCCAATTACACATAAAAACAATTTAAACATTCTTCTTTTCCTATGAACAGGTTTTAAAGCACACACCTGTAATCGGCGAGTTGTAGATCCTATTATTTGGAGAACATGCACCTGCGTTTTCTTTATGAGACAAAATGGATTCTGTACCAAGCGACGGGCACTGTGTGAGAGGAATAAGGTATCCCGATGGAAACAAGGTCTAGAAAACAAGAAGAGGTGGTTTTGCTACACAAATATAGTAAAAAAAAAAAATCACATCTGCTTTCTTCTTTGACCACTGGGATTCAGCTGTTTACCATGGGTGATATTCTAGGAGGACAATTATTTTGTTTTGGGTTTTTTTTTAAGGTAATTGGGGTAAAGTGACTTGCCCAGGGTCACACAGCTAGTAAGTGTCTGAGGCTAGATTTGAACTCAGGTCCCCCTGACCCCAGGGCTGGTGCTCTATCCACTGCACCATCTAGCTGCCCCCCGGACAATTATTTTGGGATTCTTTCTTGGTCCTCTGGTGGTTGCCTGAGGAAAACAACACATTCTACTCCTTGGAGGTCGTTAAGTAGTTCTTAGAAATGCTTCCTATGATTTCAAAAAAAAAGATGGGAGTATCCGCCCAGTAGAGTCAGGAAGATTCATCTTCCCTAGTTCATATCTGGCCTCAGATACTTACTACCTGTGTGACTTTGGGCAAGTCACTTCACCTTGTTTGCCTCAGTTTCCTCATCTGTAAAATGAGCTGGAGAAGGAAATGGCAAACCACTCCAGTATCTTTGCCAAGAAAACCCCAGATGGAATCATGAAGAGTCTGACAGGACTGAAAACAACTAAACAATACCTTTACTGGATACAAATGTGAATTTCCTGAAGAACCAGTAAAGCTTACCCTCACAAAGTGCTTCCAAGGGACCCAATCAGATTTAAATGAAGGTGACAGCTACTTGCCAAATCATCTATTTCAAAGATTCTTGAGACGTTACAAGGGAAAATGTAAAGGGACAATGATTATGATAAAGTTCTTAATCCCAGAGTTTTTACTGATGTAAGTTAAAAAAGCTTGAGGGAAGTTGGAAAAGAAAAAGGAAGTCTTTTTTTTTAAATGGGGTCCCTCTGTGAAATAGTGGAGATCAGGACAAAAGCCTTCAAATTCCCCCAAATTTAGCAAGTTCTTTCTGAAAATGGAAAGTCCTGACCATCGCATCATCTGGCCTCTGTCTGCCTTATCATTACACTGTGTCAGAGAGAGAAAACATTTATGAGTCAATCAAATGCTTAAAAAGCCCATTTCAACCTGAACATGAGCAAAACTAACAAAAATTAAAGGCATTCCCTGTAAACAAATGACCTGTCTCTTATCCACCATAAGACACTTTTTCTTTGCCAAGATAATCCTAGAAACAGAATAGAATAGCAGGCTGGGACATGGCATCTGAGGACAGAAGACTTTTGAGTTCTGCCCTTCCATTCTCCATTCTAGCTATATGAAATTGGGCAAATCAGCCGCTTCTTTGGGCCTGTTTCCTCATTTAGAAAATGAGAGGGTTGGCCTAAATCTCTAAGGTCTACCAGATCTTTCCCAGCCTGAAAGGCCCCTGGGGGCAGGGACTGGGTTTTTGCCTTTTTTTTTGTATCCCTGGTGTTTAGCACAAAGTAAGTGCTTTTGACTGATTATAATTCTACACCACACCCACCGAGTAACTAGCTCTTGGACAATTAAGTTGGCTCTAAGTGGTCAGTTTACTATAATGCGTCATCGTAGTAGAAGTGACACACTGGCTTCATAAGAGACTATGCCAGCCAAACACAATCTCTGGCAAGCCCTACTAGGCTGAAAAGGCTTTCAGTGGGGACCTGGCAGTGACCTACGATGCTACATGGCTATCAACTATATAAATGTTGTACTAGAGGAAGATAATGTTTAATTTTGGGGAGCAGCTAGGTGGTACAGTGGATAGAGCGCTCTGCCTGGAGTCAGGAAGCCCCTGAGTTCAAATCTGGCCTCAGATCCCTACTAGCTGTGTTACTGAGCAAGTCACTTAACTTCTCTGCCTCAGTTTGCTCATCTGTAAAATGGAGATAATAGTGCCTACCTCCCAGGGTAGTTGTAAGGATGAAATGAGATAATATTTATAAAGTACTTAGCACAGTGCCTGGCACATAATAGGAACTATATAAATGTTAGCTATTATCATTAATTAACAGAGATAGTTAAAACTACAAGGAACCCGAGAGATCATCTAATCCAAGGTCCTCATCTTACAGATGAGGGAATATAAGTCTGATGCAAGAAAATGACTTGTCCAAGATCCCACAGTTAGTTAATGGCAGAACTGAAATTTGATTTGTTTCCTTTGTCACCTGAGGACCACTCGAGCCAAGCTGGAGAGCCTCACGGCCTAAAGGCTGGACAATGAATGACTGAATTGTTTAGCCACAACAGCTTATAAAGCCTGTCTACTGAAGCATGGAGGGATTGCAATCTATATGAGTGGAGGCAGTACCCATACTGGTGCAGCCACATTGAAATCACAGAATCTCAGAGCTGTAAGGGCCTTGAAGGCCGTCTCATCCAAACTGTCCTTCCACAGTAATCCCTCTGCACTGTTCTTAATAAGTGGTCATCCAATACTACTTGCAAACCCCTACTGAAAGTAAACCCATCACTGCTAGAGAACAGTCTACTCCTATTTAGAGGCAGATAGGTGCTACAGTGGATAGAGCACCAAGTGTAGGGTCGAGAAGACCTGAGTACAACTCCCCCTTCAGACACTTAGTAGATGTGGGACGCTGAAAAAGTCAAGTAACCTGTTTCCCTCAGCTTCCTCAACTGTAAAATGTAGATAATAATACCACCTGCCTCTCTGTAAAGCACTTAGACCAGTGCCTGGCACACAGTAGGCACTCTATAAATGTTTATTCCCTTCCCCACCTCTTTCTCCTCTAACAGCCACTCCAGCCCTAAAACTCTATAGGGCTACAGGTTTATAAACATTGGAAGAAAACAGTAAGGTCTCAGAAGATTATGAAATGGAAGTGATAAAATCCTATTTAGTAACATATTAGCATCCGTGACCTCATGTCAAGGTCTTTGACGTTCACTGAAATATTTCAGCTCATTGTCAAGTACACCCCGGGAACTTAAAAGAGTGTACCAGCCAAAGAGATCTCTGATTTAGTTCCTTTTCTGCTTCTCCTGCTCAGAAACTATATTAACATCAGAATATCAGGGAAAAAATCCATATTAAGAGTGGCAACTGCGAGGCCCATAGACAGCTTAAAAAGGAACAACTTGTTTGTTAGCTAGAGCTATGCCCAACAATAGGTAATAAATACCCTTCAGCTTGTGTGTTTTAGAGAATCTCAAACCTATTTACATAACACTATTTTCCACAAACTTTTCATATATCTTCAGAAAATTCCTGAAAAAGTAACCATAGTAGAAGTAAAACCCTCATGGTAGGTGGAACCTCAGGTAGGGGAAGTTAAGTAATTTGCCCAAGGTCAAAGAAGAAATTGCTAGGAGAGTGAGAAGTGAAATCCAATTCTATTTCCATGCAGTGTTTCCCTCTGGATTATGTCATTTCCACACAGAATTTAATCTGTCTACATAAGAGAATTTAACCTAACATGCCAAGATCCTTACAAAATCCACATACCCCAATTCCTAAAGCTCTACCAAGATCCACTTCAAATTTTCTATCTATATGTTTCTTTGTGAATGTAGTTTTGAAGTGAAATGATGGTGAAAACTTTTTAAAAGGCAGAGGGGAAAATGGGGGGATTTTATGATCTCTTTCCCAATCACCAAATACATAAATGCCTCCCTAGGCTATGATTCAGAAAGCAGCTTTTATGGAGACTGTTGTAAGCACACATTCATTTGGTACTACTTTAACCCATAAATTCCTTCAACCTATTAAACAGGTGTTCATGTCCCATATAACTGCCGGGAACACAGTTAACATAGAGCCAATACTGGGACTGCTTGAAAGCCCAAGAGTAATCCCTGTCCACAAAGGTTAAGGATGCCTGTGTGGTGATCCTCGGCAGGAGATTAACTGTCTGAGGTGCCTGGGGATCAGTTTAGGATGCCAGAATGGGCACTCCCACTCCTACTGAGAAGCTCCCTCTGAGACTGGAAGGTTTGTAAACAACCCAGCCCCTGGCTAACTAGGAGCTCCCGGGTCTGAACAAGGAAGAACTTTACTTACTGCTGGGATGTTTTCAAGTCCTTTCAGATCCTCTTTCAGTTTTTTTGTGGAGCCGCTGTCTTCTGGCGTGTTCTGTCTCTTCAAACATCTTTCAGCAGTTGGTTCTCTTTCTTGGTTCCTTGAGGTTTGCCCTTCGGAGGTGGGCAACGCTTTCCCAGGCTTAGTGGGGACATCAGCCTTGACCACATCACTAGGGACTTTTTCTGTGGTCATTTTAGTAGTTAAGAGATGGGAGTTAGTATTATCAGTAGAACCTTTAGTTCCAGTTACATTAGCACAGGGAACAGTGTGTACAGTGGAATTTAGGTTTTGGGGTGTCACAGTTTGGGCCTGGGAAGGATGCAGATAGATTGCATAGGAGGTACCCGAGTGGGCATGAGGCACAATTACAGGCACTGCAGAAGATAAGGGGCTGTGGATCAGAGGTAGGACCCCTAGTGGCTGAATGAGAGATGGTGTCTGAGAAGAGGACACGGTTCGGTTGGGCTCAGCATTTGCTATGAAGTCAAGAGATTGACAGTGCACTGTAGGTCTTGTCAATTGCACTTTCACCTTCTTTTTTAGTTCACTGAAAAAACAAAATAAAAATCCACACGTTGAAAATCAACAACCATGAAATAGTCTATCATTTTAAGTTTTGGGGTAAAAAAAAATCAGTGCTTTTACGGGAGCTTGTGTTAAATCCCAATATTCTTTGAAAGTAGCTGAGCAATAAAAATATCTTACCAGTTCCTAAATCTAATCAACATTCCTGGATAAAATAAGGAATCCATGTAAATCAGAGAAAATTAATTCAGCACAATATTAAAACCCCCACCTACCTGGATTGTTCTTCTAATTGCATTTTGCAAATAGCTGCGAGTTGGGCCATTTTACTTGGCAAGGGCGCTGACTTCAGAGAGCTCTCAGCTGGTAAAATAGAACAATGTAGATTAAGGCAAAGAACAGACACCTTCTTCCATATGAAACCACCATGATGGAAATTATATGAAAACATTTCATGTTTTTGTCCCAGAGTCACTAAGCAAATGAAACTCCACAAAATTATCTTCCTACCACTTGGTTCATGCATGATTTAGAAGTTGAGAATGTTTGAATGAATAAAGGTTATCGTAATTCTCTAATTTGTTGAATTAATCTAATGGATACTAAACTAATTCAATAAAAATGCTTTGTGGTAGAAAGACCCTATTATTGTTAGTGCTACATCCCAACATCTTCTTCTCAAATACCTACCTTTACTGGTTTTGATGGGGCTACTGGGAGCAGAACTTATCTTTCTCCGGTCATTTTCTATACTTTTTACTAGTTTTATTAGAGAGGGATGCCTGGTAAAATTTGGCTTCCCAGTGGTAGAGAAGAGATTTTTAGCACATTGTTCTTTGGAAGACTGAGGTGGTTCCAAATCAGATGAGTCAAAGGAAGTTACAGGGCTCAGAACTGAAACACAAAAGAGATTAATGTATGAAAATGTATACAGTGGATTAAATACGTATGCAAGTGAATTAAATATATTCCTCTGAGAATATCTTAAGTAATAATTAGTACAAACATCTTAAAAAAGAGAAAATAAAAAAAATTCTGTTATCAGTGGAAAGATAAAAACGTAAACGTTGACAGTAAAGTTGACTGCTTGCAGTAGAAAAATAGCCAGTCACTGTTACAAAAATTACTGAGCTGTAAAATAATAACACTGATGATGCCTTCTATTCGTAGAGTTTTTTCTACCTTTCTGAAGTGCTTTCACGATGACATTCCATTCCCTGGGCTTTGAAAGTGAAGGTGGGATTGTATTTTTAAATTAGGTTTGTTTTTCTTTGATTGCCTAGAAACAACTTCATTGAAGGAGGCATTTAATAGGAGAAACCTTAACAGGATGTGGTTGTTGAAAGGCTCAATGTTTTTCAACCATTACATGTATTTTAGAAGATCATGCTGGAAAAGTGAAGTGATTATAAGGCAGTGAGGAAATACAGCTGTAAGGGGCAGCCCCCTGAGTTAATCTATCATATATATGTATACACACACACACACACACATATGTGTATACATACATACATATACATATACATACACACACACACACACACACACACACACACACACACATATATACACACACACACATATACACATCTCATAGGCTATTATGGGGCAAGGAGCTAAGCTCAGAATAAATGAGGAGAAGATCCTACTGGATGGAATTTAGGAAAATGAGCCGTGATTTCAATGATCACTGTCACATAAGCCTCTCTTTAAAACCTCTGTTCTCCTAGAGAAGCTGTATGGTTGAGAATCATAGACTGCCACAATCTTCAAAATTACAAGAAACTCACAAAACACAATAATTGAGAATAAAGGGACCATAGTATGTTATCAGTGTCAATATGGCCAATGCCAAAGGCCACAGAGAAGTCAAGGAGGATGACGAGTAAGAAAAGATCATTCGATTTGACAATTAGATTATTGGTGAGAAGTGAGTAAGAGGAGAGGAAATAAAGGCAACAAATGAATAAAAGCTTTTTTTAAGGAGTCTGACAGTGAAAGCAGGGTAGATAAATGATAACAGCTTGAGGGGACAGCAAGGTCGAGAGAGGATTGTTCAAGGATAGGGAAGATGTGCGCCTGTTTGCCGGCAGCAGGAAAGTAACCAGCAGATAGGAAGATAATTAAGATGAGAGACAAAATTGTTTTGGGGGCAATCTGCCAAAGAAGGCAGGAGGGGATGGGATCAAAGTTTGTAAAGGAAAGCTGGCCTGGTAAGGAAAAGAACCATCTCTTCATGAGAGACTAAGAGTAAAAAGGGGGGGGAATGGGGGATGTCATCAAGGGATGTAGAGAAGGGGAAAAGAGGGGGCTCACAGGCGAAGGGCTTCTATTTTCTTGGCAAGGTATGAAACAAGGAACTCAGCAGAGCAGGGGAATGGGAGGGAGAGACATTACAAAATATCAACTTGAGGTATGCTTACACAGTCTCCTTGGGAGTGGGTGGGTGGGGAATTCTCTATTTGCGTATTAAATCACAATAACGGAGGAAAAAAAGGAAAAAGAAATACACACCTGTGGAATTGGAACAGATTTCTGGCCCCGTCCATTTAAAAGCTGGTTTTCGGCCTCTTTCCTCTGTAACATGAACTTTCTTGATAAGCTCCAAACTACTCAGAACATTTGCTATATCATATAGCCTTCTAATTTTAGCTGGAATCAAGTAAACAGAGCAATTAATAGAAGACTCCTTTAGTCTGTTTTTCAAAACATTTTCCCATTAAAACTGAACACTGTATGTTTAAGTTAACTAAACTGTCAAACACATAAGACTACTTTTCTTTCTTTTTTTTTTTGGTCTTTTTTTGGTGAGGCAATTGGGGTTAAGACTCCAAGGCTCTATCCACTGAGCCACCTAATTGCCCCAAATCTTTATAATCTCTGTGTGTGTGTGTGTGTGTGTGTGTGTGTGTGTGTGTGTGTGTGTGTGAGTGAGTGAGACAATCAGGGTTAAGTGACTTGCCCAGGGTCACACAGCTAGTAAGTGTCAAATGTCTGAGGTCAGATTTGAAGTCAGGTCCTCCTGACTTCAAGGCCGGAACTCTACCCACTTCGCCACCTAGCTGCCTCCACATAAGACTACTTTTCTAAGTTATTCTAGTGACAATATTTATTTATTTGTTTTTTTTTAAACCACCTCAAAAGATATGTGATCTCATCAGATGTTCCTTCCAGTAAGACTGTGTGGTACAAGAGAAAAGACACTGAATATGGAGTTAGAAAACTCAGATTTAAATACTGCCACTGACGCTTCTTACTGGTATAAACTTAGGCAACTCATTTCACTTTTGTTAAGACTCAGTTTCCATGAACCTATAGAAGGAAGGGAGTTGTACTGGAGGGCCCAAGGTCCCTCTCAGGTTGGCATTTATAGTCTATGATGTAGATGGCAACACTTACATGCTCAAATTACCCCCAAGTTTATCACCTGGTAGCTAATTTTCCAGGAATGAGAAAATAATAGGCATAACTTTTAAAATATTTTAAACATAAGAAGGATTTGTTGAGCCTTAAATGAGTGGTGCTGAATTGAGAATGAACAAAAGCACACCTTGATTAAAGAAACTAGCATTATAAGGTAATCCCATCAAGAATTATTTAATAGATTTCAATGGCTTAATTCTTGAGGGGTCTTTCAACATATTCTGCAGAATTTTACAAGGGATGGAAATAGAGCTACAAGTAGCATCCACTTTTTGCTTTTCGTTGTAATCACAATGTACACTTTTATAGCGCTTTAAGATTTACAAATGGACTATAAGGCCATAAAGCATAATCTCATTTTGTAAGATAGAGAAACTGAGGTTTAGAAAGCTTAGATGAAGTAAGGATGGACAGCTAGCTAGGGTCGGATGGGATCTGAATTTCTGTCTGCTGACATCAGCTTTGTTTCTAACACACTAAGCTCCCCCTTGGTCATTCCTGACAGTGGCATGTGACATGACCTAAGATGCAGATGCCTCGTTAAAAGACCAAGCTACACTCTGCACTTTTGAAAAGCCAGCCTGCAATGGCATATATTTCATTGAAAAGGCCTGCATGTGCCTCCCCAGTGATGCGCCATCGCAGCAAATGGTAGCCATTTGCAAAGTTAGCTTCGTCTTCATAGCTGAGCCAGAGGGCTCTAAACTCCCTGGGGATTTAGTGAATTCTACTGATTTCAGAACTAAAGGAAGAATCTGCAACTGTGTCTAGACAAAGAAAATGCCACGAAGAGTGGAACACTGTCTGTTGTAGCCCATCTGTATAATGCAGGTTACAATTTTTCCTAGTGGAAATGGCAGATCTTTCAGCCCAAATGACCTGGATGATTGCCTTGATTTTCCATTTCCTTCTGCCTTCATATGTACGTTAACAGGTAGGGAATCTCAATACTTTCTACTTCACAGGGTCTTGGGGAACATGATGCTTTGCAAACCTTAACCAAGCTATATAAAGGTAAATTGTTATTTTCATGGTGATAAAGAGTAGGTTTATCCTTAACACGGTAGAGATATTCTATACAAACAGTTCAATTACATGATAAATATGTTTCTTGCTCAGCTGTCAAAGATAAAAGGGCTGTTGGGTACCTTACCGAGAAGTAAAAATAACAACTAATGTTTATGTTGCTTCTTAAGTTTTGCAAAGTACAATCACTCAGTCCTCCCAAGGGGAAGGGGCTGTGCTGTGTCAATTTTATAGGATAAGAGACTTAGGATGACGATCGACAGATGAAAGGGATCATCAGGGGCAGCAAGGTGGTGCAATGGATAGAGCACCAGCCCTGAAGTCAGGAGGACCTGAGTTCAAATCTGTTCTCAGACCAAACACTTGCCACTCACTAGCTGTGTGACCCTGGGCAAGTCACTTAACCCCAATTGCCTTTAAAAAAAAAAAAGGCATCATCAGAGGCAATCTAGCACAACGTATTGGGGACCAGGGAGGTTAAGTGACTTGTTTGCCCAGGGTCACACATTTAGTTATTGTCAAAGGCAGGATTTGAACCCAGGTTCTCTGACTCTAGAGCCAGCTGTTCTTTCCACTGTACCAAGAACCTCTTTGGACAACCTAAAGACGCTTATAATGCTTTTAGCCACTAAAATGAATGTGAGTCTGTTTGGCTGTAAGCCTGAAAAGTACCTAAGGAAGGATGCTAAAAATAAGTAAATAAATAAAAGATGTGTGCTCAGAATATTAAGAGAGAAAAAACACACTCGTGTCTTGCTTTAGCCTGTCTGTTTTATGTCTCTTTTAAAATCCTGAGGCTTTTGAGGTCGAGAAGGAAAACAGGCAGTGCTATTTGAGCCTTGCTTTCCCTTTCAGAGTCCGCCATGTTTGGGCCATCGCTCATGGCCAGGACTCCGGGAACGCATCATCCTTTCCTTGTTTCCTGTCTTCCGTGTCACGGTTAGTCTAGAAGACAGGAACTAGTCTTTTGCGTTTACAACAGGCAGAAAGGGCCAGTGTTCTAATTCCACCATTCCACGACCTACCTTGTCAACGTGGTCCATCATCTACCTTTTCTTGGAGCAATTTCTTAGATGCAAAATGAGGAGACAGAACTAAACGCTATCAGGTCCCTTCCAGTTTCTAGCCTTCTCAGTTTCCTCAGTCATGGTACAGTAGAGAGAACACTGGACTGAGCATCGGATGACAGGGTCTCAAACCTATCCATTTCATTTGGTGCCCGTGTGACTGTAGCCAGGTCACAATCTCTCTGGGTCTCAGTCTCCACTTTTGAAATACCAAGGGGTTGGACTCCAGGGCCTCTAAGGCCCCTCCAGCTCTAAATCTATGATCCTAGGAGATGTATCTGTGGCTGATGTTAGGCGTTGTTCTACAGAAAGCTGAAAGCTGGAGTCAGCAGGGCCCATCAGCAGAATGCGATCTCTGGTCAGCGTCTAAGCCGCACACCCACCCCCCACCCCAGGATGTGGCTCAGCTGTGGCTTCCATGCTTCTGTCTGCTATGCTCTGCTCTCTGTAGTTTGCTGGGATTCCCAGTGGGCAGAAGAATTTGGACAGCAGTGGCTGCCCTCCCTCCTCTGTAAGGTGCTCTCCCGGCAGTAACTGCCTCCTCTTCTAGCCCATTTTAAGGCTTCAGTGAAATGAAAGTAGTTCCTCCCTCTCAAAAGGGGGTCATGGGGTGGGAGTGAGGGTGAGGGTGGAGGGCAGGGGCTAAGGTTTCCCAAATATGCTTGAGTTCCCTCTTCTAGAGGCTTCCTAAGTTTAGAAGAAATAAAAGCATGGTTTTTTGTTTACTTTGAATGCTAAATATCCTGGCCAAAATCCTTTTTCTAGAAATAAGACCTACTATGTTTTTGAGCACTTGGAAAACAATTAGAGAGCTATTTATAGCATCAAACATAAGTATCTCTGACAAAATGAATCCTAGCTGTTTGATTTAAAGCAATGATATTATAGCTTCCAAAGGAATTTAAAAACACAGCCTGAGAGGATGCAATTATATACCAAGTCTATATTAATAAATTCTCAAACTGGATCCAAACATTCAGTAAATCTAAGCAAAGGCATACTCACACTACCAGCACACTTACTTTTAAACTTGCTTTTATCCAAATCTTCTACATGGTCCTCACCAATTAAAATTTTGGCAGCAACTTCAAGGCTTACTATTTGAGGGGTCGATACGAGAAAGAGCATCACAAATTTCTGGCTCATCACTCTCAAAGACTTGTCTTTTCGGCTATTTACAGAGGCTATGCAAAAAAGAGGAAAGGGACTAAAAAAATTAAAATCCATGGAGAAGCTGAACGATATATGGTAAAAAGGTAGAAAATAAAGGAACTTATCACATTCATAACAACTATAAAATTTTGAAAATGGCCTGACAAGAGTGTCTTTTAGCATCTGTTTTCCTTATACAGAAAAAGAAGTAAACTGCTCTTTTCAAAAAATCTCACCTGCTCGAAATTCCACTCCAGGAAGTTCCACAAAGCACATATCTGAATGTCCATTTTGGCCAGAGCTGGATTTCACTGCGGCCTCTTCATTTTTGTCACTATTAAAGTCAAACTCTTGCTCATACTCTCTCTTCTTGATCATCATGATCTGTTCTGCATATTTGTTCTCCATACCAACGTTTTTCAAAGTTCCAAGGGTTTTGTTGAGATTATGACGCCCATGCCAAGTATATCTGTTCTTTGCCAGGCGACTGACCATATGCAAACTTTCTAGGACATTTACAATATCATAAATGCGTCTACGCTCAACATCTACAAAAAAAGGACAATTGACCATTACTTTCAAATTACCTGAAGATTCTTTAGGACACTTTAAATTGAGTAAGTTTTTTCTGCATCAATACAACTGCAGTTTTATTGATGAAGTTTTAACTAATATAAAAGCATTAACTTCAAGCACATTGACCACGTGACTGGGAAAACACATAAAATACACATCTGTGGGTCATATTTTCAGCCCATCTTTGACAACTATGGTTAACATTGGGTACAAATAATTCTGTGATATTAATAGGTTTAGACTATTCAATGTTATGGAGTACCACAAATAACACAGAATCCACATTTGTTTAATACCTTTCATTCAGTTGCAATGGCTGTTATTCTTAATTCTAAATGGTTACTACGGCCTTTTAAAAAAAAAGAATTAAAAAATAAACATTCTGCATCGAGAATGGTAATAACATCAGCACAATGAGATTTACAATCAATCTGTGACTGTATTCATAGACATTCCCTCCAATGATGAAGAAAGCAAACCATCTATGCATGCCATTCCTATGAGAGCTTTGTCCATGTTCTCCACATGTTCATCACAAGAGGTCCACCTATGTGCTGCAGCCCTCCTCACTTGACATTGCAAGGATGTCAAAGGAGTGTGGTCCGATGGTTAGCCCTCCCTACCACCATGTGACCAGCCCATCTTCTTTTTCTTTCATATTATTTCTTTGATGGTATCCTTTGCTCCTTTGGAGTTCCTTATCTGTAATATGCTACAAGCCTGTTCCTCTCCACCATGTGCCTCTCCATTGCTCTTTGAGTGATTTTCAATTTTAATTCTTTGGAGCCTCTAATGTTCCATGATTTGTAGTCAGTGGACAAGACCAGAAGAACAGTGACATTAAAAATGCTGATGGTATCAAGTCCCAGAACAGTGTAGAGCTTCCTGCATGACATTCATAATTGTTTTAAAGAGAATGTGATCTAACTATCCACACAGGAAAGCCAAGTGGATGAAGAATGCATATTGTCCTGATTATGATATGCAGTTGGATGGACAGTCTATAGAGCTCATCCATCAGAAGATATATACATATTTATACATGTATACACATACATACTGTACAAACACTGCAAGTGGACAATGAGTTGAACTCATAATTGAACAGGAGGAGGAAAGCAGGCTGGATTGCCTTTGGAAAATGGCAAAGTTCTTTAATGGTCCCAAACTTCTCCCTGAAACAAAGGTCCATCTTTTTAATACAAAGTAATATTATGGACAAAACAGACCAATCCAAGTTGAATAATCTTTAAACGTAACATTTTAGCTGTTAGTATGTTTAAAATGTATTTTAAAGATTAAAAAAAAACCCTTAAGAGTTAAGCTATTTTCTCTATAAGTTGATAAGTTATATTATTATTATTATATAACCATATAATCATAGTTATTAGTTATATTGATTTGTATGTTTGTTATATGCAGATCTTTTGATCCATTTCAGTAGCTCAAAATATAGCCAGATACCTATTTTTAGTTTTAAAATGTGATTTAATAATTTTGCATTTGTATGAACACATACAGTACGTGTTTAAGGAAGGGGGATATGGGAGGGCAGCATGTAAAAAGACACAGAGAAACAACCCCAACAATTTTCCATGGCACATTGTGCCAAAGTTAATGAACTTAACAAACTGAAGTTGTTTAATTCCCACTTTAAAAAAACTAATAAGCAGATACATAGATGAAAGCTAGAGGTAATGAAATCACTTGTGAATGCAGTAAGCCAGAGGTTGAGCACGGATAAGATTTTATAGGACCCCAGACTTAGAGCCGGAATATACTTTAGAGGCCATATACTCTAACCCCTTCATTTTACAGATGAAGAAATGGAGACCAAGAGAGGGGAAATGACTTGCCTGAGGTCACATAGCTAGTAAGTAGCATGGGCAGCATTTGAACCCAGGTCCCATGACTCCAGGTTCCTGATTTTCCACTATATCATTTTCTTCATGAAACTATTTTTGCCTTTGCATGTTACAAATCTTTCTTTTAAAAATCACATGCCAGGGGCAGCTAGGAGGCACAGTGAATAGAGTTCTGGCCTTGGAGTCAAGAGGACCTGAGTTCAAATCCAGCCTCAGACACTTAACACTTACTAGCTGTGTGACCTTGGGCAAGTCACTTGACCCCGATCACCTCACCAAAAAAAAAAAAAGAAGAAGAAGAAGAAAGTAAAAATCACATGCCATAGTATGTTTTTGGAATATACTTATACCTTCACAAATATCCTACTCCATTTGCCTCTTCAAGACATGGGAAGAGAGTTTTTGTTGTGTTCTCCAAGGCTATACTAATGGAGTACAAGATGGAAAGGAATAGAGTATAAGCCTGGTAATTGACTAGGTAAATGGGGTCCAAAGCTGAGTCTCTAAGTACAGAGAAGTGCCTCATCAGAATTCCAGGAAGGAATTTTTCCTCTATCAGAAAAATAAGCAGAAAATCACATAAAATTCACACAGTCCTTAGACTACTACAAACATTAATTTAAAATAATTATATGCTAAGTATGCAACGCCAGCAAATAAAAACTATTCAACTGTTATTTTAGAAACTTACCGTTTAATACGGCCATATTCAAGTGAGAAAAGATTCTTTTGATAAGAACAGATTGCCATAAATATATATTTGTTGTTCATTCATGTCCGACTCTTCATGACCCCATTAGGGGTTTCTTGGCAAAGATACTAGAGTGGTTTGCAATTTCCTTCTCCAGCTCATTTTACAGAAAGGGAAAATGAGTCAAACAGAGTCAGGTGACTTGCCCAAGGTAACATAGCAAAGACGTGTGTGAGGCCATATTTGAACTCAGGAAGATGAGTCTTTCTGACTCTAGGCCCAGCACTCTGCACTTCACATAGCGGCCCCATATACACATATATACACACACACACACATATATAATCACTCTAATTATTAAATATTCATATACACACACATTTATGTACTTACTGAGCTCTTCTGCTACTTCATCAAGACAAATGTCATTATTCACAGCAGGGTTAGGATAGTTAGGATATCGTGCTAAGAATTTATGACACAATAATCCTAAACTTTTTTCTTTACGACTTGGTTGAGATTTCTCATATTCATCTCCAGATAAATGTTCCTGCACAAGAAGATGAAAATTATTTTAAATATAGAAATATAAGCTTGACAGATTTATGAGAGGCACCTGCACTTAATGACTAATACTTATACCATGTGCTATAGCTTCAACAGCTGCCAAGCTTTGAAAAGAGAAATATACTAGTAAACCTTACTTGGCAGATTGGAAAGGCAATCTAGTACTAAAAATACCAGCATCCCAGAATCCTTAATTCTCTATTTTCTTTGGCTAAAACCTTTTGTCTTATTCTGAATTAGCTGAATGACAATGATCTCTTAAAATCGTCCCTGCCGCCATTCTTTCAACATCCTCACTGCTGTGGTCAAACAGTATCCAGAGCCCTTGGAAAACCTACGTGTAAACAATCTTTGGCCTCAAGGATTCCACTCCTATTGTCAGACAATCCTCTTTTCTGGTCTCTGTTTCGGATTTCAGGACTAGCAGCACTGATCAACATTTTAAGGTTCGCCGTTGGCGTCCATGGTTCACCTGGAGAGATTTCCTTAGGCTTTGTGGGTGTTGTTAATGGTCCAAAGTTGGGCTGAATCTCGGCTAAGACTGAATTTGGAGTAGCTGACTCCTTCTGTGGAGTTTTTATCAATATCCTTTTATGTGGCTCAAAGAAATGATTTTCCTGTAATCAGAAAATTTAAAAATTACATTCATCATATAACAAATAGCCATCTCTGTCTTAACAGACTAACAAAAAAACATAGAAAGGAGACCTGACTTCTAGTTCAAGCTCTGCCACTCCCTGTGTAACCTTGGGCAGGTCATTTCCCTTGGCTGAGCTCAGTTTCTCCATCTGCACAATGAGGTGATAGGATTTGATAAAATTGTGGAATCTCAGAAGGCATTTAGTCCAACATGCGCCTAAACAGGAATCCTCCTTCAACATTCTCAGCAAGTGGTCCTCCAGCTTCAAGTGATGACCTCCAGTGAAGGAACTTAATGCCATCAATGGGACCTGTATCTATTTCTTCTCTAAATTTCATTCGTCTTTAGGTTTATAAATATTGTCAGAAAATAAAACCCAGGAAGATTATTTAAAAAAAAAGTGATAATATCCATCAACAATCTGCCAATGTATTAGGGTCCTATGACCTTTGATAAAGACCTGTCCAAAAGAACAGAGAAAGATGTGGAGGCAGAGGACTTGAATTCAAATGCAGCTCTGCATTGTACAGCCTAGTATGATTTTGGGTAAGTCGTTTAGCCTCTGAGCCTTCATTTACTCATCTATAAAATTAAGGCACTGGACCAGGCCTTCGCCATCTCTAAATCCTAGGACCCCAAGATATCATCAAGGAAAGATGTAGCTGTTATCGACCTCGTAAACCAGTCTCATTAGACAGTATTTTGCTAAAGTCTGTACCTAACACTTCAAAAACAGCTCCTAGGATAGAGCAATGCATGAGACTGTCCACAGAGACACACAGAGCCCAGGGGAACACAAGTTCAGAACCCAGGAAAAGTCACGAAGGAAACCAGACTCCGTGGAGCTGAACCACTTTGCTGTCGATCAATAAGCTCTCCAGTCACAGGATAAGGGACTGGTTAGGTAACATGATCCTGGGCTAGGATAGCCTGGGCTATCTCTATTTTTGTATGTTGACCTATAGGCAGGAAGCCTTGCTGTAGAAGAGAGATTAATGCCCTTATTTGGCATACTGACAGCAGATACCGTCTTCCTGTTCCCAGAGCTCAGAGACCTTGCCTTCCTGATTACAGTAACAGAATGACCATTTAATATTACCATTCCGACAGCTAAAACCGTCAAAATGCCTAGCAACCAAACATTGCCTCAAACCTTCTACATCTGATGATTTGGCCCATTTTAAAAAGTCTTCTTAGCTTGAAATGATTCACAGCTATCATAGTGCACTTCATGATGAGACAGATCAAATGGTTACTCATAATATCGAACAAGCATGAGTCCAGGCCTGCCGGCAATGGAGATTTGGAATGAATTAGGGCTGGCCCATGGGCATACTTAGAAGGAAAATCCAGGAGAGAACAAGACTCACTGACCAGTAGAGGGCAACAGAGCCCCTACCAGGAGTATCAGACAATGGCTAACTCAGCTATTTCGTGTCCCACCATTTGCATCCTAACCACTGCTAACACTGGTGGTTTCCTTGATTCCTGCCTTTAGCCATTCTAATTCCTACCTTTCTCCCTTCTAAGGTGGAACACCATGACTTCATCGGAACTAAAAATGCTGGCGCCCCAAAGAGAATTGCAAAGCCATAATGAATGGTGACGTACATTTCTAAGGGTGACTTGGGAACAAGAAGTAAAGGCCAAAATGATTTCCCTAAAAAAGCAACCGAGTCACTCCTCTACTCAATAAATGCCAGTGACTCCCTTTTACTTTTAGAAGGAGATACCAACGCTTCCTTTTGGCATTGAAGGAACTTTATAGCCAAGTCCCACTCTACCTTTCCAGTTTTATCAGATATTCCTCTTTTTATGCACTCTCCAGTCCAGGCAAACAGACCTCCTTGCTGTTCCTCACACACAATACTCCATCTCCTTTGCACCGGCTGGTCCCCAGGCCTGAAATATACTCCCTTCTCACTTTCAAAAATCAAAATCCTTCCAACTTCAATTCAAGTACTGAGGCAGAGTGAAGTGAGCAGAGCCAAGAAAATAATGTACACACTAACTACAATGTACAGAAAGAACTATACACCAAAAAAGCAATAGTAGTTGTTGTTCGATCATGACTGACTCCTTGTGACCCCTTTTGGGGTTTTCTTGGTAAAGATACTGGAGTGGTTTGCCATTTCCTTCCCCAGCTCATTTTAAAAAGGAGGAAACTGAGGCAAACAGGGTTAAGTGACTTGCTCAGGGTCACATAGCTACTAAGTATCTGAAGCCAGATTTGAACTCAGGTCTTCCTGACTCTAGGTTAGTGTTCTATGGACTGCACCACCTAGCTACCCCCAAAACAATAGTAAATGTAATCAAATTATACAGACCAAGCAGGAATCACTCAGTTGAGCCTGATTTTAGACTTTTTTCAATGTAATGATCAGTTTTGTGCTGATTTTTTTTTCCCTTTCTAAAAAATACTATTTGTTCTACAGGATGGCTCTCTGGGAGGGGGAAAGAAAGGGGTACTTGGGATAACCATGATCATGTAAGAAACAGAAGATATCAATAAAAACATATTTTTTTAAAAATCCATTTTTTTATATATGCTTATACATATATACATGCTTTCTTCCTTTGTTGAATGTAAGCTCCCTGAGGCTAAGGGCTGTTGAATTTTTGACTTTGTTATTTTCACACATATAAGACACACAAAAAATGCTTATTAATTGATTAACTGAAGCAGCGTAAAATGAATCACAATGATATGTGCCTAGTCACATGACAAAAATGAAAGCAGACAACCTGTATCTTGCATTGGTGTCCAGGAAACCCTAAATACCAGAGGACAGCCTCCAGCACAGCGGGTGTATCCCCCATGTAGAATTTATTGAAGAATAGGGACAAGAATTACACAGGATAAGGTGTGGATGGGTGGTCGTCTGCACAGGTAAGAAGTGAGATCAAAGGCTCATCAAAGTGTCTATTCTAAACTTGAAATTGTAGGACGCAAAGCCCTCTAATAGTGCATTATACAGATGATCACAGACTCACAGCACGTTGGGGCTGGAAGAGGCTTTGGTGTAGTGGAAAGAAGATTAGAGCTGAAGTTAGGGACTAGGGATGAACTCTCAGCTGAGTCACTGACTAACCAGATGACCTGGGGCAAGATCTTAGACATCCTCATCTGTAAAATAAGGAGTCCTTTCAAACATGAAATCTGTGGATGACCCTCTCTAACTCCTTTGCTTTACAGAGAAACTGTGGTACAGAGGGAGTGAAACAACTCCTGGGATCCAGACCACAGATAACAACTAGCCAAGGCAGGGCAGCGCTTGGTTCACCAGAACGCCAATTCAGAGCTCTTTCCCTGCTTCTGTCAAGGGCACCACCATCTCCCAGATGCTCAGCTTCGCAACTTTGGTTCCCTTCCCCTTGCCTAATGTATCCAATCAGTCATCCTCTCTGTAGCTACAGTATCTCTTATCCTTTTCTCCATTCTCAGAGGCACCACACTGGCTCTGGCCTTCATCACCTCCAGCACGGCCTATACCAAGAACCTCCTCCATGGGCTCCCTGCCGCAAGCCTCTCTCCCTGCTCCAGTTCATCCTCTGTGATCTCCAAAGTGATTTCCCTAAAGAGCAAGACAGACTGTGCCATTCTCCTATTTAGTAAACTCCAAGGGCTCCTATTGTGTCTAGAAACAAAAATAAGCTCTTTTGTTTAACTTTTAAAACCCTTAACAACCTGGCCCCAGCCGCACTTTTGTAATCTTATTACACATTCCATGTCCTCCTACACTCTGCTCTGGTCCAAGTGGCCTTGCTCTTCCTTGCAAGGGACACTCCATCTCCTGTCTCCATGAGAATGCACTGGCTGTCCTCATCATGTTGGGAATGTACTCCCACCTCTCAGACTGTTTTTCCTTCGAAATTCTGCCCAAGTGCCATCTTCTACGTGAGGCTTTTCCAGATGTCCCCATCTCCTACTGCTCCCCCATCCCGGTTTACCTTGAATTTATTCTGTTTACTTATTTATGTATAAGGGGGCTCCCTTGATAGAATGTAAGCTCCTTGAGGACATGGGATGTTTCACTTTTGACTTTGTATCCTTCAGGGCCTAATATAGTGCCTGGCACACAAGAGAGGCTCAATAAATACTTTTGATTGATTTCCATTATTGGTTCAACAGAAAAACAAGTCTGTTTTTACTCCTCAGTAACTTTATATTCTTGGATTAAAGGATCCAAGGGGCAGCTAGGTGGTGCAGTGGATAGAGCATCAGCCTTGAAGTCAGGAGGACTCAAGTTCAAATCTGACCACACACACATAACACTTACTAGCTGTGTGACTCTGGGCAAGTCACTTAACCCCAATTGCCTAAAAAAAAAACAAAGAAAGAAATAATCCATACGAGTTTAGTTGGAAGTGATAGTAATCCTTGTTAGTATCCACATCAGAGATGCTGACCAAGTGAGAAAATTTTTCGTAAGGTAGACAAATCATTTAGTAACGGCTTTGGGAATTAGAAGGAAGTGGATGGTTGCTATTCCACTTGGAGTAATGGTAATTAGCAGCATGCTGAATCTTCCTGCTTTGTGGGTAAGTTTAACTTTTGGGAACAAGCGGGTACAGCTATTTGCATAATTTTGTGGTTTATAGTGTATTCATCTGGATAAGTACATGAGAGCTGGGAAAAATGATTATCCTTGGTAAAAGAAATCAACTCTGCAATCATGTGAAACTAGATTCATGGTAGAGCACTCAGCAAAATCTTGGTGTTGTACTTCCCTCAGAAATGTCAAACTGAAAATGAAAATAGTTTAAAACTGCACGAAGACTAAGACTTCTGGGACACCATGCATGTTATTTACTTCTTTTCTAGGATAGACACGTTCACATGTTCCATTCTTATGGTACATTTTCATGCACATTTTTATTGGTCAGTCTTTGATCTGAACTACTGAAAATTATAGAATGATTTCACAGATCTAGGGTAAACTACTACAGGGCTTCCTTCCCTTTTTTTTTGCACTAGCACAAATAAATTAGTTGTTTTTTTTTTAACCCCTCTTGTCTTTACCAAGAAATGTGTAGAAGAGGATGTGGCCTCAGTAAAACTTGCATGTGGGTGTGAGTGCACACATACACCTACACACACACATATACACAACCCCAAAATCCCCCCAAACCCTAGCACTATTTAATATAAGTCTAGGCACCATTTTCTTGAAAAGAAAAAAAACCCTGAAAGTCAGAAAAAAAGCAAGAGGGCATTACACTTAAAACTGTAGCAATGGATATGAAAACCACATTACCTTCTCATTCTCCATTTTGTAAACTCTTCATATATTTTCTTAAAAATTAAAGATGTTTATTTTCTCCTAGAAATTCTGATGGCTCATACATGCCAGTATATTTTATTTATTTATTTTTTATAAATTTGTAATATCCTTCAAGAAAAAAGAAAAAAAGTTAATTTAAAAACAGGAAATATAATGCATAAGAGAAGACAATTTCTTGGAAATTCTAATGCAGCCCCCCATATATCACCCAGCTTTCTGAAACAAAAATGAAAAACAAAAGGAAATGGGCCACAATTTTACTACTGGTATATAGATGCAATAACTTTTCAAAATTCTTATCGAGGTGTAATTAGGCAGCAAGCAACAATTGAAAGAATTTTAAGTTAGGACTTTCCATTAAAAAAATACATCGATGACCATAGTAGATACAATTTCATCAGTGTAAGAAATTCAGTGAGGAAATTCCCTCCACTGATGCAGATATATAAATACATTATGGAGGTGCACACACATAAATACATTGTGGAGGTGCACATACGTAACTACATTATGGAGGTGCATATACATACATACATATATATATATACACACACACACACACACACACACACACACACACACACACACACACACACACACACGCACGCGCGCGCACCTCCATAATTTGTTGTTGAGCAATCATTACTACTTTTTTCCCAATAATCAGATGTCTACCATGATTGATTTTTAATTCGTTATCCTAACTCATTGGTTGGGTGGCTCCGGGCCCAGCCATTTATTTACCCGGGAAACCCACAAGGTGTCCCGCGGAGAGCCCCCAAGGTTCCCAGTGGCCACTAGCGCGGGCCCAAAGAACTTCCCCCTCTGCTTAACTGCTCCTCCCCTCCGCCCACCTTGAGGACAGTTCCTTGACAGCTTCCTCGTGGTCTCCAGGGTAACAGGCCCGGACCAATGAGAGGCCCGGTGGCTGGCCCGCGATTGGTCCTCCGGGCAGGGGGCGGGCCCCAACCTTCAGACTTCGATTTAAAAATTTGGCGGGGAAAACCCGGGCCGCGGCGGGTGCCGCCCAGCCGAGCGCGGGGATAGCGAGCCGGAGGGCGGGCAGGTCGGCCGGCGACCCCGCGCCGTCGCCAGCGCCAGCAGCCCCCTTCCCATCCCCCCAGGCCCCCCCGGGGAGCCCCCGGTCCCTGCCCCGCCCCCTCAGCGCGGGAGCTCGGCTCCTCCTTCCGTGGGCGCCGGAGGGGGAGGCGGGAAACCGCCGGCCGCCTTCCCGCCCCCTCGGTCCGGCCCGGCTCCGCTCGGCTCGGCGTGGCTCGGCTGGGCTGCCCGGCTGGGGGAGCCAGCGTACCGGGATCCCTGCAGGGGCCGCGGAGCTCCGGCCGGGCCCGGGCGCCCCCTCACCTGTCGGGGTGGGCGGCCCCTGGCAGGAGGGAGGGAGGCCGCCTCTGCTGCTCCTGCTGCTCCTCCTCCTCCTCGTCCTCGTCCCCCAGTTCCGCCCGAGGCTCGGGATCCCGCCACCCGGCCGGCCGTCCAGGTGTCACTCGGAGGTGGGTGTGGAAGGCGGAGCGGGAGTGTCCGTCGGTGGCCCGGCGGGAGGGTGGCGGAACGGCGGGCGCGTGACCTTCCCGGAGCCCCCGATTTGAAATTAACCCGCTGTCCGCGCGAGCGGCTCGGACGGGTTGGATCTGGGAGGGCCGCTCCCCCCGGGTCCTCTCCGCCCCGCTCGGGCCCTTCTGGGCCAATCCGAATCTCCCGCCAAGAGCCACGAGCCAATCAGAGGCCGGCACCGCCCTCCCCGCGAAGTTGGGCCAAAAGTTAAGAAACTTTTCTTCTTTTTTTGGGGGGGGGGCTCCACTCAAGTCAAGGAGGGCTTCGCCGGGTACCTGCGAGCGGGCTGGGATCGCATCTCCGTCTCCTCTCCCCTGCCCTCCCCTTCAGTTGTCAAGCCAGGTCCCCGTGCTGCAGAGCTCCCCACCTGCCCGCTCCACGCTTCTTACCTTTCCGAGCTGTAGCCGAGGGCAGTGGCGGAGGCTGCCCTCTCCAACACCGTTTCCGAAAACCGGGGTATTTATGACTTGAACCTTGAGCCCGGGTTGCTAGAGATGGGGTCCGGGAGAGCTTTATCCCAAAGATGAGCCCTTCATCATCGTTTCTGAAAATCAGGGTATTTATGACTTGGAAATCCGATCCCCTGTTACCAGAAGTGGGGACCCTGCAGAGCTTTATCCAGAAGATGAGGGTTTAGGTGTGGAGGGAGTTTAAAGTTGAAAACCCGCCAACTCCTCCCGACTTCCCTCCTCCTGCCTTCCCTGCATCTTCCCCTCCCCCCTTCCCCAGCTGCCTGAGTCAGGAGGTAAACCCTGAAAGTCATCTAGTTACCTCCTCCCCACTTTTACAGATGGGAAACCTGAGTCCCAGAGAACTAGGAACTTTTATAAGTGTATATGTAGAAATGCTGAAGTTTGTCTCTTTCCCTATCCTTAGCTATCTCTCCCTCTCCTCCTCCTCTTCCTCTTCCTTTTCCTTTTCCCTTTCCCTCTCCCACTTCTCTCTTCCTTTCTCTCTCCCTCTCCCTTCCTTCCCTTTCTCCTTTCCCTCTCTCCCTCTCTTTTCTTCTCTCCTTTCCTCTTCTTTCTCTCCTTCCCCCCTCCCTACTTTCCCCTTTCTCTCTTCCTCTCTTTTCCTGTCTCCCTCCTTCCTCTCTCTTTTTTCCTCTTTCCCTCCCTTTTCCTCTCTTGTGTCTCTCTTTTAGGTGCTGGCGTTTCTGGCTTTGCTAGGAAGTTTCCATTGCCCAACTCCCCCAAGATCGGAGCAGCCATCCATTTTACATTGTTTTAGTTTGATCTCTTCCTCTTATTCTGTAACCCTCTCTTTATTTTATCTCTTCTCTGTAAGCCACCTAAAGACTCCCTGGCCTTGCTACTGCAGTCCAATTGGCTTACTTTATGTGGCTTCGAATCACTAGTTACTTACTTTGAACCAAACATATTCTTATATTGTTCCCCTTAAGATAAGAGCAGCAAGATTTCTCAAATACAAAGAAGAGGTTACACCACTTATGTTCAATCTTAGGTTGAAAATTCATAGAACTTGCTCTGGAGCACTTTTCCTTCCTTCCTGCTTTTCTCAAGATTCCTTGGAGAGTCCAAGCAAATGGAATGGAAACGTTTTCACGGATTTGTAGGAAACTATAATCCCATTGGGTGATATTTTGCTGAAGTACACATTATGACATCATGTCAGGTTTTATGGTATTTGTGTTTTAAATACATTCCCCTGGCAGTCTGCATTTCTGATTAAAAAAAAAGGAAGGTCAGTGGGTTATATGCTAATGAAACATTATTTATAAGCACAATGCAATAATTGGCATTTTTTGCCGAGTTGGTATATAGTTTTACAGTAATTACATTTAGTGCACCTACTTGAACACTCTTCCAGATACCCCAAATCAAGACTTAAGTGTGTATATATGTTTTCGGTCTGTACTACATAGGAGTAGATTTGAATTTTAACCGTTTTTCTAGTTTTCTATACTTTCTGAATTTTAACCCATTTTTCTATAAATAGGTAAAGAGTTAAAACTCCTAGTGCAGAAGTTACAAAAATAGCAGCAACAGACACACTGTAGGTAGGATTTGCCTCCCAATTAAGCACAGAATTCATACTCCTAATATTGCCTTGAATTTGTTTTGGACTTTTGACTTATCAAAGTACTTTCATGCTTATAATCTTCCAACAATCCCAAATGGTAGGTAGGGTAGAGAGTATCTCTATTTCACAGAAGAAGCTAAGACAGAGAAAGGTAGGGACTTGTTTAATCATGGAAGAACCAGATCTAAAACCCAGAGGTTTCGATTCATTGCTCCAGGCTTCTTTCACCAGATCATACGTCCTTTGAATCATTCAGCAAGAAACAAGAAAGACCAGGTTGGAAATAATTTCTTGTGACCATTTTCAGGACTCAGTCTATGGCGCAATATTATGCACTGAAAGTCCAATGGATAAAAACAGTTCTTAAATAAGGATGGAATTGGTTTTTGCTGTGGAGACCTAATGCTTTTTCTGACCAAAATAGGACAAATTGAAACTGGAAATTTAGTTGGGGGGGGGTTTAATTGAGACTTAGAAACCAGGAAACCTTTTTTCACTGCAGAGAATCTTAGATCAGGAGGGATATGAGAAAAAAGAGATTATCTAGTCCATGTCGCAATTTGTAGCAGAGGAAGCTGAGTATGGTGTAGGAACAAGACTAGATTTGGAGCAGGGGACCTGGGTACAATCCTGGATCTGCTACTTACTTCCTGTATGATCTTGAGCAAGCCACTTAAACTCTGAGCCTCAGTTTCCTCACCTATAAAATAAGGTGGTTAAACTAAATGACAAGCTTTAAAATCTTATGATGCTAAGGGGAAAGTGATTTCTCCATAGTCACTCGGTTAAAGGGAGCTATGCTCTGTATTCCCAAGCCAGACCTCTTTCTGCAACGTATTGATGCTACATTTATTTATGAAAGGTAAGTGGCCAGATGTATGAGGCCTGAAACTGTATCCAATTGTTTTCCAGTGAGTAGTTAAAGAATCCAAAGAAGGTAAACTGTATCTACTTAGAATATAACACTCCGCATTTTTTTATGTCTTACTGAAGTTCAATCAACTTTCCCATTACTTGCAAAGCACTCATATACTGCACAATATTTTCATAAAATAAGAAAGTGTAAAATAATTCAGTACCAGTTAAAGAATTATGAAAAATATGCCTGATATAAGGGGGTGAAGGAACAGGTCTCAGATATAATAGCTAGGTAACTTAAAAAATATTTTTGTCACAAAGCAGTCAAATTAGCTATCAGGAAAGCAAAATTGGGGAGAGGGGTAAGCTAAAGGAAATTCTCCGGTGCAATGACTCTCAAATTTTATTTTTTTAATCTTGTAACTCTTGAAAATTCTTCCAGGATTCATTACATTCCAGATCCTGACTGTAGAATTAGAAGGACCTTGAAGGTTATCTTATCTAACCCATTTATTTTACAGATGAAGAAACTGAGGCCCAGACACATGAAGTGATTTGCCCATGGCCAAGCAGATAGTAAGCAGCAAAGCTAGGGTTTGAATCCAGGTACTTTGCAAACCTCTCACACTGCTCCCCCCCAGACAAAATCCTATGTGTTGGGGCCACAAGGATTAGCTTTTCCCACTTCTTAGTCTCCTCACTACTCCCATCCTGCCTTAACTAAAAGTCTAGGTTACTTTATAGGATTCTGAGAAGTTTTATATAAGAAGAGGAGGGAGGGGGAATGTAAGGTGCAGAAGAGGTTAGGGGGAGATGAACTGGCTCATGCCATCACTGCCACTAAACAGCTTTGGTGATATTTCTGATACCAGTCAGAAAACTTGCCCCATGATTCTTTGCTATTGTTGTTTTTTGGCTTGTTTTGCAAGGCAATCAGGGTTAAGTGACTTGCTCAGGATCACATAGCAAGTTAAGTGTCACGTGTCTAAGGTCACGTTTGAGCTCAGGTCCTCCAGACTCCAGGGCCAGTGCTCTATCTACTGCACCACTTGCCCACTCCTCCCCCAGGATTCTTAGTGTGAAAGTTCAGAGAGCTCACCTGAGATTAATTCAGCACCACTGGGAGTCTAACTCTGTCTTTACCATTTATTTTGGAAAAATCTTAGAAATCTTCCCCAGTTTCCCATTGTCGAAAATGAGGAGAAAATAATCCCTACTCGCATCAAGGGATATTGTAAGGATGATTAAGATACTGCTTATAACCTGTTTGAAGTTCCCCTAGGAAAAGTGAAATAAAATTTTAGGGGAAATCCTTGCATATGACCAGGGCATTGGGAATGTGATAGACATTTAACTTAAAGTCTGTATCATGTTTGTTTTGAATATATTTTAAGAGACATAATATAACAACAAATGCAACAACTGATTTCTAAAATAGTACTTTGAGGTTTGCAGAATGCTGAGTGTGTATAATTTCATATGCTATTGTGCATTGTTCTTGTACCGAACTATGGCACATTGTATAGAGTTCTATTTTATCTAGTTTTTTGCTACTATGTATAACAGATCGAAACTGGATCTTTATGACTTTGTTTCATTTACAAATCACTTTAAAGCTTCCAAATGAAGGGCCAGCCTCCTCTCTAAATAATATTTAACAAAAGGCAATGATACATGACGGAAGATGGAATTTGATTATGCTGAATTCACATATTTATAGATTTATGTGTGAACTTTCAACCATGAAGCCAATTGTAAATCATAGAGCACTATATACTAAATATGACGTATTATTATTCATTACAAAATTCTGTGATATCTGCCAGGTTCCATTATGTATGAGAAGAGAAAGCTGTCAAAAATCAGTACCTATATAAGTGACCTACAATGAAATAAGTATTAAAGTCTTTGGTTTTATCTAAAGTGACCCTCTGAAATTGTCTCAGAATACCCAAGGTGCCTTTGAAATCTAAGAACAATTCTGCTCTGAAACGATTTTACCTATGATAAGTAAGCACTCATGAGCAGGGATCATCTACATAGGAAGGCAGACAGATTCAGTGTGAATAGAATGTTTAAGTATAAGTAGCCCCATGTGGTGGAATCCTTTATACTTATATCTTATATTTTCTTTGAACAAAATCCGGTATTCTAAGAGATGATTTGAGAGACAGCATGACAGACTAGATAGGGCA